CGGCGACTTGGGGGACTCCTACTATAGGGTTTGTATCGCACTTGACCAAGCCCGAAACTACAAGTAAGCTTCAAGTGAAATTGATACATTACCTTGTGCATCTTTATCGGTTAAAGATACCACCCATGGATGGAGGAAAAGTACTTCCAGAGAAGATGCCACATCTACATATGAGACAGATAAGGCACGTGAAAATGATACCACATTTCAGTACTTAGAAGTTTCGTGATTACTCAATGGCTTGGATCTTGCAAGTCCCCAACCGAGGAGCTTCCCTCACTCGGGAACTTAGGAGAGCACTGTTTGTACCATACTTGACCAATCCCGAAACTACTGAGCACCGGTCAACGTTATACCGTCAAGAACCCAGAAGAGCTTCCCTTCAACTAGGAGGCCAATCACAATACGACACGTGTCGACATCAGAAGACAATCATAGCGCGACACGTGTCAACATCAGAAGCCAATCACAACACGACACGTGTCAATGTTAGAACAAAACTAGAAACTTTCTTCTATAAATAGGGATCATTCTCCCACAATAATCTCTAATGTCATTTTGTACTAAACTATTCACTAGAACTCACAAAATGAGAGCTTGAACCTATGTATTTGTGTAAACCCTTCACAATTAATGAGAACTCCTCTACTCCGTGGACGTAGCCGATCTGGGTGAACCACGTACATCTTGTGTTTGCTTCCCTGTCCCTATTCATTTACGTACTTATCTTCACTAGTGATCGAAGCAACCAAGCGAAGGTCACAAACCTGACACTTTCTGTTGTACCAAAGTCCTCGCTGATTTTGTACATCAACACACCAATTTGGAGTACTTTTCGTGCCCTTTAGTCTTGTTTCTCTGTTTCCTCACAACCAGCAACCAATGTACGAACATACCAAGCATGAAAAGGAAAAAGGAAATTACAACGAACGCAATCCAGAAAGTGATTGTCCTTCTTTCCTTCGTTTTGCTACTTTGATCATAAGAAAACAGACTTGTACTGAAATCCCATGAATATAAAAGATGCCTCTCAGGGTATAATCCAGTAGCAGCTGAAAAACTAATTGTAACCCATTCGGGGAGAACATTTCGTAAGTCAATATGGTAAGAAAGGGAAGGTCTAAACACAAAGTAAAAAGGACTCGGGTATCTCTCGTAGGACCAAACCAGAGAGTTTTGGTTTTAGATATATAAAATATCCATACTTCAGCCATTCTTCCATTCTTCCATTACTGCTGCTAATATCCCAACTGGCATTGACAACTGAGGAGACTTGATTCACATTGATCCCAACATGTGATCCTGGTGGATCCCATTCTTCGTTTGAGAAAGTATCAAACTCAACTGTTACAATGTTGTTTTTCGATTCTGCGAAATTTGTGGTGGTGTTGAATAATCCTAAACCACCCCCGGCAGAGTTAGGTGGAATTGGAAAGCCAACTGGAGCTAGGAAAAAGGCAAATCCATCACTAAACTTGGTGCTGTGATTATGATTATCGATCTTGAAAATGAAATGCGTTGTGAAATCTGTCGGTGTCCTTGTTCTAGAGTTCCAAAGGTGAAAAGGTTTTCTATATGTACACCGTCCTACTCGAAATAATTCATTAACTTGGTTTGAATTCGACAAGTGCTTCTAATGTATCCCTCGCATCACCTTCATAGACCAAGTTTTTGTTGGAGGTGTATCCCGATATGGTGAATGAAAGTGCATGCGTGAAGTTTGGAAGTGCAATCGGAGAGAGAATATTGAATATTATTGAATTCTTTAAACCCTAACAGCTGTAAAGCTGTGTTAGCTGTGTTTAGCTAGGGTTTAGTGAGCTGTGTTATTCCCTCTTCTGTGTAAAGCTTGTTAATAAGCTGTAAAGCATGTGTTAAGAGAGTGTGGAGGTCATCATACTCTCATGCTTGCTTAGCTGACTTGCTTAGCTGCCATTGTCCCCTACTCTCCTCTCTTTCCCGATTATTCCTCTATTTATGCTTAATCTTGTAAACTGTTTTGAGACACTGAAATATACATTAAGGTTTTCTATATGGTATCAGAGCAGTGATCCCTCTTGGACCTGCTTCTGTGTTCTTCCGAAATCCTACCAAATTCAAACCAGTTAAAGCCATTATGGCAACATCATCAGAGAAAGTTTCAAAAAACGAAACTATGGATACCAACCCAATTCAACGTTTGAGCTCAGTGCTCCTAAACGAATTCAACTATCTGCCTTGGTCACGAGCTATTTCTCTCGCTCTTGGAGGACGTGGAAAGCTCCAGTTCATTCAAAAGGATGATATCATGCCCGAAACAACTTCACAAGATTATGCAGCATGGGTGTCCCAAGACCAACTTATCATGTCTTGGCTGTTGAATTCTATGGAACCAAAGATGGCTGAGATTTTCAGTTATTCAGTATCATCTCACCACCTTTGGATTTCTGTACGAGACATGTATGGAGATCTAAACAATGCTGCGCGAGTCTTCCAGCTGAAGAAAGATCTTACAGAATTACAACAGGGAAATCTCTCTTTTGTTCAACATCTTGGCAACTTGAAGGCCAAATGGAATGAATTGGATCTCTACAGACCTCATACCACGGACACAACAACCATTCTTTTAAAGCGTGCTGAAGAAGACAAAGTGTTCCAGTTGCTTGCCAGCATCGGACCAGAATATGAGGACCTTAAAAGTCATCTCCTGATGACACCTGAGCTTCCCACCTTCCAGATGGTCTGCAACGTTATTCAACGCGAAGAAATAAGGAAGAAGGTCATGAATGCAGTCGTTGTCGTTGGAGAATCAGATCCTAGGCCATCAGAAGCAAGAGCCTTCACCTCTTTCAGACCATACAAGGGAAAACGACCAGACTTAAAGTGTTTCTCACTGTGTGAAAATAGGTCGTCCAGGCATTGGACACATAAAAGAAAAGTGCTGGATTCTTCATCCAGAACTTAAACCCAAGTTCAATGATGAGGGAAGAGCACCAAGAAACCAAATGAAGCCTGCCTACACTCCTCAAGGAAACCTTGTTTGCGACAATGTCTCAAAAAATGTGATGAACTCTTCTTCTAGTCCCATTACTCTCATAAATGAATTTGCTAACTTCTTGCAACAGAAACAAGGGACAACAAATCATGAAAATCCTGCAGCCATGCTCGGCAAGTTTGCTGGCTTCCTCGAACAGTCAAGCTCAGTGTCACAAAATGATGTGCCAGGTATTGTTGCAACTATTTCCACTGCATTGGATCTTAGTAGTAGCCGTGGTTTTTGGATAGTCGACTCAGGAGCTTCTGATCACATGACTAACGATGCATCTTTACTAAATGATTTTCAAAACTTCTCCACTCCTTCTTTTGTCTCCGTAGCTAATGGCACCAAAGTTAGTATAGTAGGCATAGGAAAACTCAAAATCTTCTCAAGTAAAAAGGAATCCCGTGTCATGCATGTCCCTTCCTTTCCTTTCAAGTTGCTGTCAGTAGGAAGAATAACACAATTGCTAAATTGTCTTGCAATTTTTTCCACTCACTGTGTGATTTTCCAGGACCGAGTTTCGAAGGAAACGATTGGTAAAGGTTTCTTCCTCAATGGACTGTACTATGTCAACTTCTCTTCAAGTTTTCCAAAAGGTTTCTACGTAAACTCAAACACAGTAAACAAGGAGCAGCTGTGGCACATGAGATTAGCTCATCCTTCTTCCCATGTTATGTCTTTTATTTTTTCCTAGTTTCTGTAAAGAGATTTCAGATTGTGAAGTTTGTCAAAAATCTAAGTCCACCAGGTTACCCTTTCCCCATTCTCTCTCTAGAGCTACCAAAGTTTTTGAAATTGTCCATTCCGACATTTGGGGACCTGCAACCTTAGAGTCTTTTGATGGCTACAGATTCTTTATATCTTTCATTGATGATTTCTCTAGAACTACCTTTGTGTATTTACTTAAATTCAAGCACGAAGCTTTCCAGTGTTTCAAAAATTTTCATAACTTAGTTCAAAATCATTTTAACTCTAATATTGGCATCTTAAGGTCTGATAATGGCTCTGAGTATACTTCCAAAATCATGACAACTTACTTAAGTGAGCATGGAATCTTGCAACAAACTAGTTGTGTAGGAACACCACAACAAAATGGCATTTCAGAAAGGAAGAACCGAGATTTGCTTGAGAAAACACGATCACTAATGTTACAAGCAAACCTTCCAAAGAAGTTCTGGTCTCAAGCTATACAAACCGCTGCATACATCATAAAAATCGACTTCCTAGCAGAATCTTGAAGTTTAAATCTCCTTGTCAAATTCTCAAGGGGAGAGATATTGACATAAGTCATCTCCGTGTGTTTGGATGTGTGTGCTATGTGCATATTCAAACTATTCACCGAGATAAACTTGATCCAAGGGCTATCAAGTGTGCATTCGTAGGCTACTCAACTTCCCAAAAGGGATACAAATGCTATGATTCTAAAACCAGAAAGGTGTTTGTATCCAGGGATGTACGGTTTGATGAGACACACTTCTTCTTTCAGAAGCATGATGATGAACCTCAGGGGGAGCTCTCATATGAAGTGTTTCCCACTCCTCTCGTCCTTGATGATCCAAGACTGTCAACACCGCACAATGAAGCAATTGAGATAGAGCCAGCTCATGAAAATATAGAAGCAAATAATGAAGAAGTCCTCCACGAAAGGAGAGAGCCCCTTGAACAACCTACTCATCCACGAAGGAATCCTTCTCGAAACAGACAACCTCCAGCCAGGCTTGATGATTTTGAAATCTACATGCCTAGATATCCTATTGGACAAATGGTTCACCATAGCAAGACCTCCCCATCTCATGCAGCATTTGTCACTAAGTTATCTCAACACTCGGAGCCTCGATCCTTCGAAGAGGCAAACCAATCTCCTATATGGAGATGTGCTATGCTTGAGGAACTGAAGGCACTCGAAGAAACTAAAACTTGGAGCATTGTTTCTCTGCCAAAAGATCAACGTGTGGTTGGGGCAAGATGGATTTAACAAGACAAAATTTAACTCAGATGGAACCATCCAGCGGCACAAGGCAAGGTTAGTTGCAAGGGGCTTCACGCAAACCTACGGGGTAGATTACAAAGAAACCTTTGCCCCGGTGGCAAAGATGAACACAGTTAGAGTTCTTCTTTCGGTGGCTATCAATTCACAATGGTCTCTACATCAAATGGATGTAAAAAACGCTTTTCTTCATGGAGAGTTGGAAGAAGAAGTGTACATGCGCCTACCACCTGGTCATGAACGAGAGAAGGAACAAGGAGTAGTATGCAAGCTTCACAAGGCCATTTACGGTCTCAAGCAATCTCCAAGGGCTTGGTACTCAAAACTAAGCTCTGTCCTTATGTCATCCGGTTTTAAACGAAGCAATGCAGATTCTTCAATGTTCACTAGGCTTGGCACACATGGAAGATTGGTGGTACTTGTTTATGTTGATGATCTCATTGTCACAGGAGATAATCCAGAAGAAATCAATGCTCTCAAAGCCACCTTACATTCAACATTCTCAATCAAAGATCTCGGCAGACTTAGATACTTTCTCGGAATCGAAATGGATCAATCTCCAACGGGGTTGTTTCTAAATCAACAAAAGTACGTTCTCGATCTTTTAGAAGAAGCCAATATGATGCACAGCAAACCTGCTAAAACACCTCTACCAACAAATTTCAAGCATGAAACCTCAGGCATCCAGCTTGAAAATGCATCGGAGTATCAAAGGTTGGTAGGAAAACTTATCTATTTGACTATAACTCGACCTGACATTGCTTATGCTGTTAGCTTTGTCAGCCAGTTCATGCATTCTCCCACATCTCATCATTTGCAACTTGTTAAAAGGATCCTTCGATACTTAAAAGGCTCAATGTCTACCGGGATTTTCATGCAAAACAACGGACACTTCACCATTGAAGGATACACAGACTCTGATTGGGCAGGCAACGTCCTTGATCGCAAGTCCACAACTGGTTACTGCACTCTTGTAGGTGGTAACCTCGTCACGTGGAAGAGCAAAAAGCAATCTGTTGTAGCTCGGTCCAGCGCAGAAGCTGAGTACCGTGCAATGGCATCTACTGCATGCGAACTAATTTGGCTAAAGAGTTTGCTGCATGATCTTGACATCATCTCTTCCAAGCCAACTCTCCTCCACTGTGATAATCAAGCAGCGATGCATATTGCTGCCAACCCCGTCTTTCATGAACGAACAAAGCATATCGAGGTTGACTGTCATTTCGTCCGCAACCAAGTCCAGTCCAAGCTGTTACAAACTGCATTTGTTCGCTCCAGTGATCAACTAGCCGATGTGTTCACCAAGCCCCTTCCTTCTTCTCAACTTGATCGTATTCTCTTCAAGCTTGGATCCAGAAAATCTCTCGATCCAGCTTGAGGGGGAGTATTGAATATTATTGAATTCTTTAAACCCTAACAGCTGTAAAGCTGTGTTAGCTGTGTTTAGCTAGGGTTTAGTGAGCTGTGTTATTCCCTCTTCTGTGTAAAGCTTGTTAATAAGCTGTAAAGCATGTGTTAAGAGAGTGTGGAGGTCATCATACTCTCATGCTTGCTTAGCTGACTTGCTTAGCTGCCATTGTCCCCTACTCTCCTCTCTTTCCCGATTATTCCTCTATTTATGCTTAATCTTGTAAACTGTTTTGAGACACTGAAATATACATTAAGGTTTTCTATAGAGAAAAACGATGAAAACGAAGAGATGAAGGTAGGAATTATTAAAGTAGTACTGAGGAACACAAAATGTTACCTTCCTGCTTAGAGACATTCTAACTTTGTGCAACCAATCGAAGAAAGTCTGCAGATTATTTTTCCGGTTGTTATAATTTGTGAAGGCAAGCTTTTTAGCGTTTGGTGAAAAGTGGCAGACCGATCGACATAGGTACATAAGTTGAGAAATACATGATATATATAGGATTAAGGTATGTGTTTCTTTCGTAACAGTTGCATCCCAGCCTAGGAAAAATCTAAGAGAAAGTTGCTGCACTATTTCTATTACTTGCATGCGACATGAACTATAAGTCGGAGGCGCGTTTGGGAGTTCGGGTATATCAATGTGTTTCATATCTTCAAGGTATGGACGATGACGAATTGACGATGACGATGACGAGTCATTGAATTAATCAAAGATCGTAAACACCTATCATTACGAAATTCATGCCCCTATACATTTTGGTGAATGAAGGATATATTCTACAGTTTTTGTAAATACAAAATTTTCATGCAATGAATGTAACAAGAACACGTGTATAAAAGAAAGGATTTGTATTAGTGAGAAAAATTAGGGTTACAATCTCTTAGTACAAGGTTTGATCCTTTTATTCCATCTCCAAAGTAGAATTTGATTCAAGGGTAGTGAACACTTGATCATAAATCAGGGTTGTGATTTCTTTAAGGGTTGTCGAATTGATCTTGAACAAATCGGGACCACGAGTAGTGTCAAGTGGTAAGTGATCTTTGACTTTGATGGTGGATGAATCGACACATATGCTTGTTGTACTTGTTGATGCTAGAGTGTAATGAAGATTGCAGAGAGTTTTCTGAGTCTTCTGAGTTTGTATAGTGTGTCTGTGAGTCCCTTATTTGTCTTGAAGGTATTTATAGGCCTATCCGTGATTCTTTGTATTGAACCAATTCATTTTCCGGGCCTTGATTTAAGGAAATTGCCTCCATAAATTGTTTTGACTAAAGCTTGATTGAACTTAATTTGAACCAAATCATTAACTCGTTAATTTAACCAAATTAAACTTACAAATGGAAAAAGTCAAATCAATTAGCTTGGTAATTTAACTAAATTAATTAATTGACATGATTTATGTTTGATTTAAGTCAAAGTCAATTAAAAGATAAGTTGCCTCCGTCCTCGTCTGGCCTCAACGCTGATGATCCATCTAAATGAATTAATTTGTTGAAAGTGCAATTGAGTTGCCCAAAAGGTGCTGGCCAATTTCATCGTACTTGGTTTTGATGTAACCAAGATATTGTAATTTGACCTTGATTTGGAATTAATTTGAACCGAATCAATTAACTTGGTAATTTAATTAAATAAATTCATTGACATGATGTATGTTTGATTTAAATCTAAGTCAGTGTTCTAAAAATCGGCCTAGGTGGCCGCCTAGGTGCTGGGCGGCGGAGCTCCGACCCGATTTAGATCAAAACGTTCAGTCTAGGCTGTTTGAATCTAGCTGCAAATCCCAAACTCGCTGCAATTTTCGCAACCGGATCTACAACTTTCGATCTCGTGCGTAGTAGCAGAGCTCCGACGAATTTCTGCAGCTCGTCTTTGTGAAGATGAGGGAAGAAAGAGTGCAAAGAGAGAGAGAGAGAGAGAGAGAGAGTATTATACATTTCAATCAGTGGTGGCGCAAGTTGGATTTGAGATCCAATTTTGAGGTTCTGAAAGTGCAAGGGCGAAGAAGAAGAACGAAGATGAGGGAAGAGGGAAGAGAGAGTGCCAAGAGAGAGAGAGACTAAAAGATTCAATTTTGAGTTTCTAAAAGGGCAAAGAAAAAAGAAGAAACGAAATTTTCTTCTTGGGTTTCTGAAAGATCAAAAGCTGGTGATGGGTGGTGATGTGAAAGAGGTAAGGTGGACAGCTACTTTCATCAGATGGTTTATTATGAAAACCACTCACTTGCATGGGCGTGGGCTTTTTATATTTTAAAAGTTTGGGAGGTATATTATATTATTATATGTATATAAATGTTATATAAATTATAAATTATTAGATTTTTTTTTTTCCTAGGCAAACATATTAGACATGTACATAAAACATTCACATATGTATGTTTTTTTATAAGAAATAACATATTATTCAATAATTATTTACATCTGATATAGTAAATTTAATTAATTCATATAATATATAAGAAATTTACCTAAATCCGCCTAGGCGCTCGCCTAGATCCCGTCTAGCTGCCTAGGCGCTAGGCGCCAGCCCACCGCCCGACTAGCGCCTAGCGTTTTTTAGAACCTTGATCTAAGTCAATCAAAAGATAATTCCTCAATTGTTTCCACCATCAACTTAATTTGGTAATTCTATTTCTTTTCATCAGTTGTCGACACATGTCATTCTGATGACTCGTTCGACTTTGATGAGTCACATACTATGTGTAATTTGTAAGATACATGGTGAACAAACCACATAAGTTCTGGCGAGTCACAATTTAATGTGTTGGTGAACATTTATTTTGCTTAAATTTTGACGTCTACAGTGTTATTCTTACACATCTGATGCAATTTGTTATTTCATAAAAAGGAAAAACTTAATTAGTCCTTTACGTGCAGAATCATGACGAACTAACAGAAAATTATTACTGACATCAAAAACAAGATACTAACTCAGACATTATACACCCGATATCATACAACTTTGCAGCATGATGTAAGGCAGTCTTTTGAGGGGAAGAAGAAGGAAAAAGAAAAAGTAGGGGTCTTGAAGATATTACGCATGGATGTAGCTTGGTGATCGTACTACTTTAACGACCCGAGGTGTTGAAGCTCGAAGTTATAGATACATGAGATTCCGATTCAGCTACTTGTTGAAGAGGATGAAACGGCGGAGGATGGTGAGGTCGGTCTTCTGGAAGCTCAGGCAGTGGTGCTTCAAGCTGAAGGACCTTCACCACTTCCCCTGCTTTTGGCCGTCTCTCCTTGTTGTAGTGAGTGCACCATAATCCCACCATTAACAAGCGTTTCATTTCATACTGATCAAAATACATTCGCAACGCCTCATCCGCTGCACCGAGTAGATTTCCCGCAACGTATAGTTGCCAAACCCACTCATAAAGCGGCCCACGGAAGCCTCCACCCTGCAGGTAAGGCTTCCTTCCACAAGCAATTTCCAAGGCCACAACGCCAAAACTAAACATGTCCGATTCTTTGCTGGCCCTCCCTTCATTTGCATATTCGGGGGCAATGTAGCCGTAAGTTCCTGCCACTCTAGTAGTGTGATGGGTCTTGGACCGGGACTGGGGATCCACGAGCTTTGCAATCCCAAAATCACCAAGCTTAGTTTTGAAATCGTCGTCCAGCAATATATTAGCTGCTTTGATATCCCTGTGAAGGACACACTGCTCTGCGCCTTCGTGTAGGTAATGAAGCGCCAAGGCCAATCCTATCGCTATGTCATACCTCCGGTCCCATTGCAACGTTGTTGTAGGGCCAAATAAATGCATGTCGAGGCTACCGTTAGGCATGTATGCGTAAACAAGGAAGCATTCGGCCCGCTCATAACACCATCCAACGAATTGCACCAAGTTTCGATGCATTACGCGCCTTATTACTGTGACTTCGTTGATGAAAAGGCTCTCATACTGTTCAGACTCAGCGAAGAATTTCTTGACAGCAACTGGGAAGGCTAGATCTTTTAATGTTCCTTTATAAACATGCGCCGACGCTCCTTGGCCTAGCCTGTTTTCGTCAGCAAAGCCGTTGGTGGCTTCAACTAATTCTTGGTAAGAAAATTCTTTTGGCAAGGAAAAGCTCTGAAGATTTTGTGTAGAGGGCACATGATTGGAGGTATTTCCAGCTCCACCAGTTCTCGTACTGGCACTACTCCTCCGATTCGTCACAAACCACCATATGGCTACGCCGAGGACCAACATGACAGAAGTAACTGCAACAGCAATCAGAATTGGCCTCCAAATTCCCTTCTTTTTGCTATCTGAATCCAAACTTGAAGTGAAATCCCATGAATATATGATGTGGCGCTGATTGAGAAGGCCGGTAGCAGCTGAGAATCCAGTAGTAACCTGCTCGGGGAGAACCTTTCTTAGGTCAACAACATAAGAAAGAGAAGATCTTCCCACATTGTGATCAGGGTCTTCCTCATATCTCCAAAACACGCTGAGGTTCTTGGTGGTAGCATTGTAATCTATCCTAACATGCGCAACCTTCCCGCTGTTGAAGCTTGCGTTCCAGCTTGCAGTAACAACTGAGGAAATTTCGTTTATATTGATCCCTACGTGTGACCCTGGAGGATCCCATGGGTTCGTGTAAGTGTCAAACTCCACCGTTACGAGCTGGTTAGTGGACTTGGCAAAACGAGAGGTGGTGTTAAATAGTCCGAGATCACAACCAGCAGAGTCTGGCGGGATTGGGAAGTGAACTGGGGCAAGGAAAAAGACAAGTCCATCAGCGAAGTTGGTGTTGTTGAGAGTGTCGATTGTGAAGTAGAAATTAGTAGTGAAGTCTGAGAGTGTCCCCTTAGCCTTGTCCCATAGGTGCAAAGGCTTTGCATACGTGGCCCGGCCAGTGCGGAATAGTTCTGTGACTGTGTTGAATTCAATCACTCCCGACGAAGAAGGCACAGCGTCACCTCCATAGGAAATAGTGTCGTTGTTTGTTCCGGGATAGAAGTGAGTGATGTTGAAGGAAAGTGGATGGGCAAAGGTCAAGGAAAGGAAACAATTGATGATGATGAAAATGTTCAAGAGACTAAAATTTGACAGCCTTCTTTGATACATTTCAATAACTTTTCGTGTAAATTCGACTGAAAATTTTGTGTTTCAATTCTGAACACATGACTGGCCTTTTGAATTACACAAGAGAAATCATTGATCCACCCGACAAATGCATCCGAAGACTTTGATATAAATGTTGGGTTTCTATGAACATATATACTGTTAGCCATCAGCTGTGTGTTACGAGGGTATCAATCTGTTTCATGGCTACAAGGTATGCACGATGATGACGAAGTTGAATCATTAAACTAATGACAGAAGAAACAGTCCAGCTCATTGTTTTTAATGAAGGTTTAAGAGAGACAGGAGACATTTTTCGTTATGTTTATCGACAAATTTGAGATCTAAACATGACAAAAAATTCGTAACAATGCATAAAAATAAATCATAAATAATCTCCACCAGAAATGTGCAAAGTTCTTTTCCATGGACGAATGATCCAATGTTCGAGAAGCGGCAGCTGGACTGGATTGGCCACACTTTCGATATGCAACCTTGGAGAGACGTGTTTTCAATGCAAAATTTAGAGAAAAGTCAACTGACGAAAGAGAGAGCAGTAAGAGGATTCTCTTCCAAATAATACCAAGAAGCGGCATATCCGTTTGACCTTACCACTCATTTTAGTTTCTTCCGTCTTTTTGTGATTTATAGCAAATTAATTACACTGTGATAAGCAGATATGAAGGGAGAAACGATGGCTCCTAACATGTAAGTAGCGAAGAAGTGTTACTTCTAGCAATGTCAACGGCATTGTCAATACATCGATATACACGAATCCCCACAACACAACGCTGCCGACTTATAGTATACGTCTCGTTCAAGAAATAGAATCTCTCAAATGCACTTGAAGGGCGGCAACATTTTTAGTAGATTTTTCCAAGGCTTGGATATAACTTTTAATATAAAACACAAATTCTAAGCCCTTTCTTATGTATTTCCCCAAGTTTCCTTGATTGTTTTGTTAATGTATAAATTGGTGAACTAATGTGAAGAAGATTACAAGTTTTAATTAGTTTAATGCTTCAGCTCATAGGCTGAGCTTATGTGATTAAAATGTAATTTGTTAGTTAAGTCTCATAGTGCTTGATATGTGACAAGTGTTCTAATCTCAGTGTAGTATAGAATGGGAGGCTGAGATTGAAACTTGAGTAGTATCTCTCTCTCTCTCCCAATGGTTATATTTTTGTTTTGTATGAGCTCATATGCTCAATGAGATATTGCTAAGTCACATTCTCTATGATTTTTTATCAGAATTCCTCTTCTTCTTTCTTCAAGCTTTCTGAGTATTCCTTCATAATTATCATCATCATTCTATGTTTGAATCTAATTCACTAACATGGCCTCAGAGCCTGGTTGGGTCTAAATTTTTTGGCATCATATATGTGGAGGATCGAGCTCAGATTCACAGCAAAAGCTTATTGCAGTGATATGAGTTTGTTTCTATGATCTAGTCTAACATGACTGGATCTGGAGGAGGAGAACTCAGAGCGTTAGTCTTCAATGGCGAGAATTTTAATTTCTGGCAAATCAAAATGAAGACCATTTTTTGTTCACACAAACTGTGGAATCTGGTCGAAAAGGGTTACGATACTCCGATGAAGAAGGGGGAGGAGCTCACAGAGGTGGAGAAGAAGCTGATGCGAGAAAATGTAGTCAAGGATGCTAAAGCACCTGGAATCATTCAAGGTGATGTTTTAGATCAAATTTTCCCGAGGATCGCAACTCAGGAAAGTGCAAAGCTACAAGGCTTGATCCTTTTATTCCATCTCCAAAGTAGAATTTGATTCAAGGGTAGTGAACGCTTGAACTTGAATCAGACTTGTGATTTCTTCAAGAGTTGTCGAATTGATCTTGAACAAATCTGGACCACGAGTAGTGTCAAGTGGTAAGTGAACTTTGGCTTTTATGGTGGATGAATCGACACGTATGCTTCATGGTGCGAGCTACATAAGTTATGGCGAATCACAATTTAACGTATTGGTGAATATTTATTTCGCTTAAATTTTGATGTCTACAGTTTTATTCTTACACAGCTGATGCAATTTGTTATTTCATAAAAAGAAAAAATTTAATTAGTCTTGTACGGGCAAAATCATTTTTTTCTTTTGGAAAACCTCAGCAGAACGGGGTAAATTTATTGATATGAAAAAAGAAGTTACACCTAGTCAGGGGGGAACGTAAACCTTACCCCTCATAGAACAAGAAAAACGAAATACAAAGAGGGGGATAAACACCTTACCCTTTTTGAAAAACAAAATACGAGAAAAAAGAGGGGGGGGGGACATAGACCATACCCCTCTTGAAAAAGAAAATACAAGAAAAATATTGGGTGGACATATGTCCAAACCCCTCTATAAACCTTAAAAGGTAAGAACCTACAAGACAAGTTGCAAAACGAAAAAGGAAATCCAAAAAGAAATGAAATCACACATCAAGAAGGGGAGGCAAACCTGTAGGCTAGCATGCCCAAGAAATTTGAGTGAAGAAGAGGAAGAATCTCTCTGTAGGAGGAGCAGAATGCCAAACAAATGAAGATGAGAAAAGCCCTAAATTGGCTAATTTGTCAGCAACAACATTTCCTTCTCGAAATACCATGTTTTGCAATCGGAGAGTACAATTGTTCCAACATGTTTGGAGTGACCAATGAGGAAAGAGATCCAAAAGAGAAACAAGATATCATGCTAGAAGAGTCACTTTCAAGCTATAGATTTTGCCAACCCCGTGCGTGAGTCAATTCCACAACAAGGATGACAGCATGGAGCTCCGCGTAGAAAGAAGTATGATGCCCTAAGCTTAGGGAGAAGCCACCAAGAAAATAACCAGCATAATCTCGAAAAACCCCGCCACAAACCGCAGGACCCGGGTTACCTTTAGCAAGGTCATCAGTATTCACTTTGACCCAAGAAAAAGAAGGGGGATGCCAAAGAACATGTTAGATCCCACACTGCCCAATGGAGAGGATCCTCTATGCCTTATATGTACATGCCCACCTCCATATAGCACGAGGCCTTTTAGGAGCTCACTAGCTTCGAGTTCCATCAGAAATCCGAAGTTAAGCGAGTTTGGGCTAGAGCAATCTCAGGATAGGTGACCTCTCTGGGAAGTTGCTTGTGAGTTCCCAGAAACAAAACCATGAGGGTGTGGTCGGGGCCCAAAGTGGACAATATCGTGCTACGGAGGAGTTTAGCTCGGGATGTGATGGAACCCGGGTCGGGATGTGACAAAACATGGACTATGGAAGGAGCTTTACAAGACTTAGCCGAGATTCCGAGAGAGACTAAAAGTTACCTATCCAAAATGCCTCGTACATGACCAGGGGCGAGAACTCCAACCTGCCTAATCCAGGCCGAGATGGACGATGCAGGCGTGAGAACGAAGGGGGTTTATCATGACGAACCAATAGAAAATTATTACTGACACCACAAACAAGATACTAATTCAGACATTATACACCCGATATCATACAACCTTGCAGCATGATGTAAGGCAGTCCTTTGAGGGGAAGAAGACGGGAAAAAAAAAACAAAACAAGTAGGGGTCTTGAAGATATTACGCATGGATGGAACTTGGTGATCGTACTACTTTAACGACCCGAGGTGTTAAAGCTCGAAGTTATAGATACATGAGATTCCGACTCAGCTACTTGTTGAAGAGGATGAAACGGCAGAGGATGGTGAGGTCGTTCTTCTGGAAGCTCAGGCAGTGGTGCTTCAAGCTGAAGGACCTTCACCACTTCCCCTGCTTTTGGCCTTCTCTCCTTGTTGTAGTGAGTGCACCATAACCCCACCATTAACAAGCGTTCCATTTCATACTGATCAAAATCCATTCGCAACGCCTCATCCGCTGCACCGAGTAGATTTCCCGCAACATATAGTTGCCAAACCCACTCATAAAGCGGCCCTTGGAAGCTTTCACCATGCAGGTAAGGCTTCCTTCCACAAGCAATTTCCAAGGCCACAACGCCAAAACTAAACATGTCCGATTCTTTGCTGGCCCTCCCTTCGTTTGCGTATTCGGGGGCAATGTAGCCGTGAGTACCTGCCACTCTAGTAGTGTGATGGGTCTTGGACCGGGACTGGGGATCTACAAGCTTCGCAACCCCAAAATCACCAAGCTTAGTTTTGAAATCATTGTCCAACAATATATTAGCTGCTTTGATATCCCTGTGAAGGACACACTGCTCTGCGCCTTCATGTAGGTAATGAAGCGCCAAGGCCAATCCTATCGCTATGTCATACCTCCGGTCCCATTGCAACGTTGTTCTAGGGCCAAATAAATGCATGTCGAGGCTACTGTTAGGCATGTTAGGAATGTCGGTACTACAAGATAGAGAATGCACAAGGTAAAGTAGAAAATGGACACCAAGAATTTATGTGGTTCGGCAATTTATGCCTACGTCCACCAAACGAGGATTAATCTTCACTATATGAAGAATATGAGTACAACAAGAGTAGTCTTACCAAGCCAAAGACAAGGCTTGATGGATACAAGAAAGTATGACACACACTTTCTATAACACTAAACTTCACTCACACAATGTGTAGTGGAACTCTCACTCTCACTCTTGGAGTGGAACTCTAGCTTTGGACTTGATCCTTTGCTACTCACTCTCTCTTAGTTCTCAATTGGTTACATCACACCCATATTTATAGGTGAGGGCTTGGCATTCTACTAGTTTCTAGTTCCTTCTTCAAACCTCTAGTATAGAAAAATCTAGACTAGCCACATACTTGTAGCTTCTAGATCTTTCCATTTGCAACCAAGGAAGCTAGTACTCTCTAGCTTCTTCCATCAACTTAATAACATGCTAGAATTGTCTAGCAAGCTCCAGCCTCATCTCTTGCTTACTAGAATAATCTAGAACATTGATCATGGGCTGGACCATATACCAACAATCTCCCCCTCCAGTCCATGAGGGAGGAATTCCGATCATGACTCCAAGTTACCTGGAGTTCATCCCAGCAGCCTTAATGCAAAATTCCAACTTTGATTTTGTGACTACCTTTGTCAACATGTCTGAAGAATTATTATCGGTATGAATCTTCTTCAGCTGTAGCAACT